AAAAAAAAATTTTGAATTTACTTACTTGTAGCCGGAGTTAGAGGCGGTCGGATACTTATGACCGCTACTGTATATTACTAATAAAAGGAGAATTTAATGCTGCAGAAATTTTAATAAACATAATAATCATGTCATAAAATGCAAGTGTTAATTTAGTTAATTTGGAATCAGATAGTACTTCTGTTAAATATAATTCATAACAATTATTAATGAGTAGTAAAAAAGCTAAAATTTTTTTAAATTTTATGATAATTATTATAATGTATACTTTTAGGTGATTAAAATTTAATAAAGTTGTATGATTTAAAAAGAAGCATTTATTAAATAAATTAATATATATAGATGCCAATATATTGAAATTTACCTATCATAACTGTGCAAGACCCTAAATACGCTAAAAAATAGCTTGTAATTAACTTCAAGACTTCTTGTACTTGAAAATAATACTAACATCTCTTAACTCTTACTCAACTTCAGATCATGCACTTTATATGCAAGATGTTTTGAATGTTAATAAACAGAATGATAAAGTCACGTATAGGGTATTTTATTTAGATGTATTGATACAAATATACTAAACTGGTTTAGAAAATAATGAAATGTAATTCTTGTTCATTTATCTTTTTATATTAGATAATAAATAGTAAATATTTAACATATTATTTATTATATTATGCTTATAATAAATTTTTTTGTTTTTAAATAGGAGATTTTTTTGATTCATATCTAAATTGTAATATTTTTTATAAGGAACAAATTATAATGACTATGCGTAAATACTTTTTTTTAAATATATGGATTAAATACATAGAAAATTCTTGTAAATTATATAATTCAATATTTTCTATTATCAAAAACTTTATTTCTTCACAAAGCTTTAAAATTTTTACCAATATAACAAAATCCTTAATACTATTAATTCTATCTCATTGTGAATTTTACTCATCATACCTTTTATATCCTTGGGAACATGATACAGAAGCTATAGAATATATGTTTGATATATCTTGTTAAATAACAAATAATTTTTCCTTTTATGAATTTTTTAAAATTCAACAACATATTGCATATCAGAACAAAATTATTAGACAAAATATGTAAATTCAAAAGGAAAAAATATCAATATCGGGTAAATTAATAAATACTATATTAAATTTTATGAAATTACAATTAATTTATTTAATTTTTTATTATTTACTAGGATATATATTTGATTTTAATCCAAATTTTAAATCAAATGAAAATATTGATATTTTGTGAACATGGTCAGATGATAATGTTATTCATGATACTATCAAAATAGCATATGATGATGCAGCTAAATTTATTAAAATGTTGGGAATTAAATTATTAAATGATAAATCAATTCCACATTTTTATGGTTCAACATCTCACCAATTAGTGACAATTTCTAATCATTTAATTGCTGACCCTGATGATCTTGATGATATAAATAATCTTAGTGGAATTGATTTTAATAATGATGAATCTAATTTAAACAAAGACTTTCCTTTAGCCGATGCAGCTTTAGAAATAATACAATTATTGCAGTTAGCAGATTTGAAGCAAAAAACAAATGAATTAGAACACAAGCATGAGCTTGCAGATTCGTCAAAAAATTGAATTGGATTATATTTTAAATACTTCAAAAAAATATTTTCTAATAATTGAATTGGAACAAGATGAATTGTTTTATAAAGATGGCTCAATGAATATAATACAAATAATTCAAAATCGTGTTGTCATTTAAATGCAATTCAATCATCCAATAATCAGGCAAAATTAAAACAAAATTCAGAATTTTTCTGAAATGATGATACTTTTGAATCTACATTTAGATCACGAAAAGAAAGATGGATGGGAAGAAAAAAACTTGAAAATATTGGATTACCCCAACATGTTAAAGGTATGGGTGTGATTTTAACTTTTTAATTTTAATTTATTATATTTATTAATTATTTATTAAATAATAGCTTCAAATATTTCTTATGCAAATGTAACGGATAATAATCCATTATAAGAAAATAATTTTATGTCAAAGGAAGAAATATTAGTGGGAAAAGTATTGTCAATGTATAAATTGGTATCTAAGCGGCATGCTTATATTTCTTCTTCAAAAGATGTAGACTCTTTATCTTATATTTCAGTTGCTACATAAATATGATGGCAATTTATTTTCTCCGGCCAGTAGGACAGGTGGTAATTTATTCGCGCGCATAACTCCAAAACAAGTTATTTATCACTTCGATAATAAGCTCAGATATAATCTACACTAATTCAAAAGTTGCTAATCTAATTGATCATTTATGCTTAATAGGAAATTCGTGGGAAATTTTTGATTTTTTTCAGCAAAAAACATATTTTAATATCAATTCTTGATTAATAAGTAATCAAATTTGTATGATAAACTAATATAAAAAATCATAATAGGTTATTTTTATTTTGGGTAATATACATTAGAAAATATTTAAGGAGGTTTCGAAATTGGGTAATGTTACTAGTAAATTTTAAACTGGGTAAAGATAATAGTAAATTTCTTGAATTTTAGACCAACCTTTATATAAAGTTTCTGGGGTATTGTTAACGTGCAATTCTTGCGAATTATGACAGTTAGATGAGGTGTTCGAGTGGTGAATCTTTTAAAGTTTACGTAGCAATTTGATCTCAGTTTAACTCAAGTTTATATATTTTACACGATAGTGTACTTTTGACAAGACTAAAGGGAAAATGGCAATTGATTCAGAGGTATAATAATATGTTTATTGATGATAAAGAATAAAATAATAATAATATATGAGATAAGAAAATAAAAAGAATAAGAGAAACCAGAGAGTTAAGTACTAATTGAAATGTTAGGCCAGGCGCCTCTACAAGAACTACTAGACGTATATCTAAAAGTGAAACTAAAAGAAACTAAAAGTAAACTACAAGCGAACTACTGTTTACATGATTCTATTGCTCTCTATTTATATTAAATTAATACATAGATGAATATAACAAATAAATCAAATATATCTAATATGTCCGATATGTCCAAGATATCAATTATATCAAATATGTCCAGTATATCAATTATATCAAATATGTCTGATATGTTTAACATTTAGATCTGCAATATACTGTGCCACGTTCATCAATCCAATCCTGTTACAGTACAAAGTCTTGTGCAATGTGTTGATATGTATCATGTGAAATTTGTACATATGATCAACATCAGAATCAAAAAACGCGTTAACGCGAAAAACGCATTTTCTCTTACTTTTTTTTCCTTTACATACCTATGAACATAGTGCATTCACCATATTATTTTCTAGAAACTGCAACTTGGAGCTTACTTAGTTATTTAGAGTACAGAGAACACACAGAAGATTTTACAAGAGATAAATCATTAGAGCACCAGTTTTATGTTAAAGATCTTGAATACCTTCAGAAAAATCCCGAAGAATATCCACAAGCCGAACAAGCTAAACAGTGTCTTCTTAATTTTCAGGTAAAAATACTAAGTAAATTATCATGTTGAGATGGCATGTTGACACTTAAATAGTTAATTGAGTGCGCCTTGGTTGATGAGTGTAGGGTGCGAGTGTTAAGATACGCTCTGGTTTCTATTGATGCGATTGAATAGGTGCGTCCTGTTTGGTTGTGAAGGGTGCGTCCCATATAATTAATACCACATGTTGATTTCTTGGTGTGATCAAATGGGTGCGTCCTGTTTGGTTGTGAAGGTGCGTCCTATTCCTAGTTTCTTCCAGCTCTTGTGATGTGGTGATGGTATTTTTATGTATTAAGAAGTTAAACAAAAAAAACTAATTATTTCCTATAATTTTGTATAAACTCGAAAAAATGAGTGAGGATGTAAATACTTTCTGGTTGTCGGTTGATATGAAAAAACAGATTGATGTAAAAAAGGTGAGTAAAGTACACCCCCTATGCCTTATGTTTCGGAATACTGACTTAGAATATGAAATAGCTGGAATATGCAGGAAATGCATTGGATGCAATAGCAAATGAAACACGATTGCAGTCCGTTTTGACAAATGAAGTAATATCAATCATGGGAAGTTCACAGGTACATAACAATGATAAGGATCAGGGCGAAACTAGCAGAAATGTTTTGGAGGTTCGTAATAATTTTTCTTCGCTAGCATTTAGCATCCTATAGCCAAAGTTATACGCATAATTCATCCAACAATATATCACAATACAATAGAAGAATAAAGACACTTCCGCCAACAAAAGGAAATTAGAGGACGACCAATCAGATTATTGTGAAGGACTTAAACATTTGTTTGATGAGTCCAATGAAGATGCCATTATAGAAAATATCAACGAAAAAACTCTTGAAGACGAGGATAAATTGCCACCTGCATGTGGTAACAAGGTAAATTTTAATATCATAATTAGCCAGTATATGATCAGTAGAGTCATTATATTTTCCTAGATAGGATCCACCAAAAATTCGTGCAGATGTGTTGGATGCTTTCCGAACATACCAAAAAAAAATTCCCAAAATTCGTAGAGTATTCATGTAAGTTTTGTGTCTTTTTGGAGCAACAATCATTGCCAGATTATCAATGAGTTTTGTTTTCCTCTCCATAGCCCCGCATATTGGGGCGTACTAGATCTAACTAAGGTAAGTTTATTTGGGTGTAAAGAAATTACCAAAAATGACATACATCAATTATCGCAGGATTTTGCCGACCATATAAAGTGGAAATGCGAGCCTGCCCCAAGAAGTTTTCAGAAATATTTTGATAGAAATTGCGATTATGTTGATAGCAATCATAAAGATCAAGATATTAAAAAATTTGATACATATGTTCAATTTATGTAAATATTAAGTTATGACTTGTGATTATCTGGCATTATATTCTGACCCTCTGTATTACTGCACAGGAAAGTTAACATGCATTCGTTCCAAGGTATGCTCACCGAAGAACAGTTAAAAATGACTACTTCGTTTCCGCTGATTTATGGAACGTTTACGTCGAATAATATTAAAGATGTCTGGTAGGTTATTTGTGTTAGTTTGCATTTAGTAAAATACTGAATGTGGAACTGACATTCTTCTGCATGTAGGGGGAGGTTCAAGCTCTTTCAATTAGTAACGCACGTAATGAAAATGTTGACCTATTCAAAAAAGCCTGGTTGGGTAGGAAAGTTGACATGAAAGCAACCTTAACTAAAACATTAAACAAATTCGAAGTCATTTATGGTGAGGTTGCAGGGGGATTGAGGCCATTCGGAATTCCTTCTGCGTGTCGTAAGAAGCGATTTTTGGACAAAGTTAAATTGATGATAATTATGCGTGATGGAATAAATCAGCTATTAAAAGAGTGTAAGCACGTTACAGATGAAAGCCGAAAGAACATAATAATCTATGGCTGGTTACAAGTGGGTAAGTTCAACATGAGAAAGTTTCAGAAAATTCCTTGCTAATAGATTTTATTTTAGGATTAGAATTAAATTTTTACGCGATGGACTGGCAAGGGAACAGTGTCTACAGATTTGGGTTGATAGACCGGTGTAGAATACCGGTTGATGAAGATGATTGTGGCAATTTGGAAGACGCATATTGCGTTCTTAAATCGCTTAAGGTAATTTCTATTTGTTTTTTTTTCTATGGTGATTTATAATAACTTATGGGTCAAATGTATAGAGTAAGTCTCTTGAGACTGAAAAAGTTGTGAAAGAACTTTTTTCAGAAAATACTAAGGGGAAACGACGTCGAATTGCACCCAAAACTGAAGCGAAACTGAAGCGGAACTGAACACAAATCGCACTCTACAGAAATAAACATTTATAGTTTTATTAAATGGAATGTGCGTTAAAAATCTTAGCTTAAAAAAATTGTTACATAATCTCATTTATATTGTTTTAAAATTCTTTGTCTGAATAAAGTTTTTCGCAATTTTATTTCAACGTGCATCTAAAATCAAAGTCCCTCTATATTTGAACTTTTTTGGGATGATATTTTTATCTGTAGAAAATCGAATGGGTAGCAAATAATATCACATAATACTTGTAAACAGTTAAAGAAAGATATAACTAATGATTTAAAAAAATTTATTGCATCACAGAAATACAGAACACATGATGGAAACAAAATGTTTGGATTAATTTTCATAATAGTTATTATACATATTCATATTACTTTATCTGCTTTTTCATGTACTTCATTCTTGAACTAAACTTCTGGTATAGTCGTTATCTTATACTTAGTGCTATCATATTCATCATAGAAAAGTAGACAACTTTTATTGCATCACTCAAACACATTAACAATTTTTGTTTTCTCTCTATCATTACTATCCTTTGTAATTCCATTGAATATGTAACTATCAGGATTATAACAAATAAAGAGAGTAGAAATACCAAGTGCTTGCATAATGTTCCACATCCTTTTTACTTCACAGTTATATTTCCTTTTCTTGTGTTGATACTCATCTACTTTCAGTATAACTTTATATATGTCTGCATCAATGACAAAGTCAGAATACGTTTTTAAATACACACCATCTTCCATAATAGAATCATAAGCTTTATATAGAATATTGTTTTTGTCTAAAATATATTTCACTCAAAGTTGATTTGACAAATATACTATTATTTTTGCTTCAGCATAAGTGCTATATTCAATGCACTTTTGATTCTGCAAAAGGATATCAAGCGATCTACAATTAGAATATATTTTTTAAACTAAATCAACCATATTATTTGTGAAGTTTTTTTCGCACCTATTTGAATTAGAAAGTTTGTAAGTAGCTGGCTTTTTACAATCTGAAATCATGTATAAATGTGAAAAATGTGATATTATACCTTTGTTTTTATATATAAAGTAACATGATATTTTATAGTCAGGTATTCTATATAGTACTCTTTTTTGGCAATTAACATTATTACACTTTAGACCAATAACGTTAACTATTCTAAAGTTTTAGTAGACTTTACAAAAATATGTCCTTTTTTCTCTTAAAATATTAAATGTCAGTATGATTATATAATAAGCTTTTTCACATCGCTGATTTACTACATTAAATATGTCAGCTATTTTATGTCTAGCGTAATATTGGTATTGTGTTTTCTGAAACATTAAATAAGAATGAGAATAATAATCTGAGTATGTGCATTTTCTGCTTGTAATATTAATTATATCATCCTGCTTATATTAATTACAGAAAATTCTTAATGATCCTCTACAGCGAAAAGCATTTTTTTGACAATCTGAATACCTACAAAATTTAGTTTAAATATCAATCATTTTTGATTTTTTGTATTTAGTGTAGAATTTACCCTTATTTGAGCTAATAATATTAAAAATTACATGTGTAGTATATTTAAGTTCTAAGTATTTTCTAGGCTTTAAGTGAATTATCTTTTCTTTTATATAAGTAATGTATGAAGTTACTTTTGAATTAGAGAAACTAAAATGAGAAAACTTGTAATAGCTATTTTTTTGACACAGTGTTTTTACATTAATATAACTAACTGACTTATGCATAATATAATAGCGTGAAATTTTTGAAATTTTTAGGCTAAATAAAGTTTCTTTTTGATAATAAAATTATTAACAGCATTGTAGCATTTTATGTTAACTTAAAAGTATCTAATTATAGAATATACTGTAAATTAAAACATGATTAGAACTTTTTTTATCAGATACATTAATCTAAGGTAATATTATCAAATCTTCAAGGATACTGATAGCAGTATGAAAGATTGTTAAAATGTATTCATAACGCATAGCTCATTACTATTTATGACTGATCCTATATTTTTTATCTTATAAAGAATATTGTTAATACAAAGCTTAAACTCCTTAGAACTTTATCGATTGAATGAAAATCTATAAATATAGAATATGTAAGTTATTATTTGTGACGAAAAAAATAAGTTAGCAAAAAGTATTGTATAACTTACCTGGTATAAATTGAGAGATACTTATTATAATACTACTTTTAATATAATATTTTTCTAATATTTTCTCTAAACTGCAATATGAAGAAAATGGATGCTTCAGCTTTTTTTGAGAATCTGAATCTCTTTTGCAAGTTTCATAGTCAATTCTATTTTCAATCTAGCTTTCATAAACTTTTCTTCTATTATATCAAGAAAGGCAGGTCTATTAATTTTTTCTTTGTAAAAAATACTGAAATTATCGTCATCAAGTTTAAAGTTCTGCTTTTTCAAAAAATCGATAAGAGTTTCTGTATCCTAGTTCTCAACTAAGTAAGAATTGTGTTCAGCTGTTGAGATAGATATAGCACTTTTATAATTAGTTAGTTTAGATTAAAGCTCTGCATAAGTCGGCTTGGCTTGGATTGCCACCGGCTCGAGCCGAGCCACTTTTTTTTTGGCTCAGCTCGGCTCGGATCGTGGAGATCAATTGACAAGCCAAGCCAAGCCAAGCTGGCTTGCAAGCTGGCTCGTTCGGCTTGCATTTATATTTAGAAATGAAAAACCATCGAGAGAAACGTTTCTCATCAAAAGATGCGTTCCTGGAATGATTTCCTTTAAGAAGAATGTTTCCAGAGCGTTTTCCATTAAGGAATTCGCTTTCAGAGCATTTTCTTTAAAAAAATTCGCTTTCAGAGCGATTTCCTTAAAGGATTTCATTTCTGGAGCGATTTTCTTGAAGGATTCGCTTCCAGAGCATTTTCCATAAAGGATTTCACTTATGGAGCGTTTTCCATAAAGGATTTTACTTCTGGAGCGTTTTCCATTAAGGAATTCACTTCTGAAGTGATTTCCATTAAGGAATTCACTTCTGAAGTGATTTCCTTGAAGGATTTCGCTTCTGGAGCAATTTCCTTGAAGGATTTCGCTTCTGGAGCGATTTCCTTGAAGGATTTCACTTTCAGAGCGATTTCCTTGAAGGATTTCACTTCCGGAGCGTTTTTCTTGAAGGATTTCCCTTCTGGAGCGTTTTCCTTGAAGGATTTCGCTTCTGGAGCATTTTCCTTGAAGGATTTTGCTTCCGGAGCGAAATCCTTAAAAAAAATGCGACTTATACCATTTCTTTATTCAAGTGAAAAATATTTAATTATTTAACATTGTGATACTAAATTTATATTGATAAATGAATTTATCTTTATTTTTAATTTGCAA